TTTATTTGGATCAAAATCTATTTTTTTTTTATTTGAACCAAATTAAATTTATATAGATGCATGCACACACATATGTAAATTTTCGTTCAAATGAAAAGAAATCTTAATGTGAAAAATAAGAATATTTTTTGTGTATTGGATTTGACTCTGTAACCGATCAAATTACTATGAGCATGCAATGGATAGACTTACTTCCTCAATTTTTAATTAAAGAAATTGAAAAAATACTTCACACCTCTTTGAATAACTTCTTGAATAAAAAACGTGTTGATCTAGGAGTCATTAAGAATACAAATCTACATGTCAATCTTTCTGTGAATGTCTATACAGGTAATTAGTATTTTGAAGCTTTTGACAGTTAGGGTTAGTTTGCAACTACTTTTAAAAAAGCACTTCTCAGCTTTTGTCTTTAAAAAGCACTTATTTTTCCAAACACTACAACTTTTATTTTTCTCGGCTTCCGCGTCAGAAGTGCTTTTACTTTTTCTATTACACAAAAAACACTTATTTTACCAAACACTACCCACTTTTACTTTTCAAAATCACTTTTTTCTCAAACACTATTAACTTTTATTTAATCACTTCTCCTCATTTCATTAAAAAACACTTTTTTAAAAGTAGAAGTTGTTGCAAACAGACCCTTAGAGTGCCTACAACGAACAGGGATTTACACATTCAAGGAACGATTTCCTCGGCTATTCCTCTAATAGCGGGAAGATGTCACATATCTCATTGATGGGGTGATTGGGGTCTATGAGACCGTGACAAAAATCGTGATATTTGTAATGTATTAACTCAATTTAAATTAATTTGTTACTATGTATAAGAGAAAAAATTTTGCCTACACAAAATCTGAACACTCAAATTTATTTTTACAAGACAAAAACAGTGGTTGCTTATTTGAGTACTAAATTCTCAGGGTTATAATGATGGTTGAATTTGGTTTGGCTTGTTTTTGTTTCTGTTTTGCAGTTTTCTTTTCTTTTTCTTCCATCTATCACTCTTTTAATTTTCTCTAATCCATCATTAATAAAAATTAGAGAGTATGTTTTCCCCAAAAAAACAAAACAAAAAATATGCATGTGCTTAAAAGTAGAAGTCCAAGATTAAAGAATAAAAAGAACGTGTAATATGAAAAGTATGCAATGATGAGTGGTTTAACGTGCCCTAAACAGTACTCCATGTCATTTTTACTTTTGTCTCTAAATTTTTCAAAGCTGGGTATATACTTCGCCCATAACAAATGGTTTTACTCGGAGTAACTTCAGGGGCGGCTATATGGGGAGTTACCCAAGGCAAATGCCTTGGGCCTCATATTTTAGTGGGGCCTCAAAAAAATTATTAATAGTATAAAATGTCTATTTTCATTTTAATGGTTTGGAAGCAAATATATCTATTGGTAGTGCAAAGATAGATAAAGTGATTTTAGCTCTAATTAATTGGCAGGCTCATAGCCACTAGCTAGCCACCATATAAATTGAAGTAATGTTTAATTAGTTGGATCACTTGGATGGACACAATTATTTAGTTATTTTTATTTTCACTGATTATTGTTGTATTTGTGATTTGTTAACTGCTTTATGTTTTATTTTTTGTAAATATGTTACTGGGGCAAACAAAAATCAAGAACTGTAGGGATTTAAAATTTAGAAGTACTACTAAGATTCTCTCATATCAACTTTAGTAAAGTTTGTGTGACTTTAAATCAATTTGACTTTATTCTTACTTTATCAATTCAATATCAACCACATACAACATTTTTATTGGTTTGCGTGTTACTCCCTCTTGTCCCATTGTTAGTGGGACGGAGGGAGTAGTTTAAGAAATAATTTGGGAAAGTATATAATATATATAATGGAGTAATGGATTAGAAGTGTGTTGTTATGAGAGTATTAATTTTAATATGTGATGGTTATATTCTTAGCCGACCCCAAAATCTTTTGGAAATAAGGCTTGTATGTTGTTGTTGTTGATGGCTATATTGTCATAAAAAAGTTAACTATATTCTAAAATTAAAATGAGAATGAGAAATTTTTAAAAGGACGTCCAAAAGAGACAAATGATAATGTTTACCCGGGGCAGAGGAAGTGTAAGTTTTGGTCCATTTTGCGTATGTTTACATTTAAAATTTTTATTATTTTGATGTTCACTACTTTTTGAATATGCATTTTTTTCACATTTTGTATTTTTATTCAATTAATCTTTTTTTTTGTCTTTTGTGCTATAAAAATCACATTAATATGATATGTCAATATTAAGTGTTTTTCGTCTTGGGCCTCCAGAGTTCTGAAGACGCCTCTGAGTAACTTGTAACGTTTTAGCCTTAAACTAAATCAATAGCGTGTTCACTATATTCTTCTCCGTATACCAAAGACAAATTCAATATGAAAGTCAATGTAAATTCTAACAAAGCTCGACTACTGAAATTAGATGATTTGGGAACAAGAAAAGTTTTGAAGAACGATGTGAAATTTTTCCAAAACCGTATATTTATCACTTTTGTTTATATTTATATAATGATATTCGAATTCTACAATCATTTTTAAGAAATATAATATTGACTGGTAATGGAACAGGGAGTTGAAGAAATCTAGAGGGAAGTTGGAACAATTCGACAATGAGAAAGTCATAACTAATTTGGTAGAATAACATTGTACGTAGCATAAAATTCTAGATCCCTTTCCTAAACGAGGAAGGTGCTACTCCATTTTATAGGTAAAAGTATAATGCTTGGACTTTAATACTTGCCCCGTTTCTTAAAACTTGCAACATTAGGATTTTTGCGCTATTCACACATCTTACTTTGACAATAACTTTCTATAAATATATAGGGAAAACTGTCATATAGGTCTTCGAACTTTCATAAAAATGTCAAATAAGTCCTTATATAGGAGGTTCTGTCCGGCCGTCGCGATTTGGGGCGGTTCCCGATCGATTTTTTTGATGAAATTTTTTTAACATCTTATTCATTAAATCGTGTTTACTCATACCAAATTTCAGCTAAAACTTCAACCGGGAACGCATTCAAATTAATTCTTGAAGATCACTGCGCATTTAACTGCACAGTTATCATCGTCTTCTTCTTCATTGGCAGCTCTCTCTCAATCATTGGGGTTTACGGCCATGAATGTCACCAATATTGTTACTACCAAATTAAATGCCGTAGAAGATTATTTACCTTTGCGTACACAGTTTGAATCCTTGTTAGTGTCACACAGTGTGCTTGGTATTTTGGATGACACAATTTCCACACCGTCCATGTACGTTACGAATATTCAAAATTGCCAAGTTATGAATTCTGAGTACTGTCATTGGCTAAAGTTGGATCAAACTATGCGTTCACGATTATTTGCTACGTTGTCTCGAGATGTTCTGGTAGTGGTGCATGATATCAACATTCTAAATTTATTTGGGACTGTCTTGAATCTCGATTTATGTCTACTAGCTTAGCACGTTCCATGAAACTTAAAAAAATGCTTAGTTCTTTACGTAAAAAGGAATCCCAATCTATGGAACAATACTTACGAGATATCAAGAATGTTACTGATGCTTTAGCTGCTATTAATTCTTCTGTCTTCATGAAAGATCTGCTTGAGCGCACCCTCATAGGGTTAGGTCCTAATTATCAGTCTGCTGTGACTCCCCTTACTTTATTCCCGGAGGGCCTTACTTTTGACTCACTTTGCACTAAGTTGGTACATCAAGAATAGTGGCTTCTCTATCAGCGACGTTAGGAGCAGACTCTTGGGTGATCTCCAGCCTTTGCCGCGCCTCAACCCCCGCCCGGTGCTCCTCCAGCAGCAGTTGTCCGATAATGTTTCTGCATCATATTTATCAGCTAATCTCATTCAGCATGCTCGCAGTAAACATATAAATATTGATTATTATTTTGTTCGTGAACGGGTAGCTCATGGTGATTTGATAGTTCGGTATGTTCCTACTCAGCTCCAGTCGGCAGATATCTTCACCAAGTGCTTGTCTCCACAACGGTTTACTTTTTTTCGTGACAATCTGCGCATTGTTTCCCCTGCACAGTTTGAGGGAGTGTAATAATGTATTTATTAATATTAATTAGGTTGTCTAATTATGGTAGGCATTCTTATGTATCTTGAGCTCTTTTATTATAAATATCAGTCCAGGGCTACCAGTCTGGTAAGCCTCCATATTATTCTCACAGTGTTGTGGTAACTTAAATTTAAAACTTGAAAACTATGATTTTGTTACTATTTTGGTCATAGTAATGGTATCAAAGGCATTCATCCGCTCTTCGATATACTTTTCCCCATGGTCGTTATTATTGTGAATGGATTGAGGATCTTTTGTTAGTTGCTTCAAGGATGGGGGTAATGAATCAAGCTTGTATGCTTCATCACACTAATAAATTATTTTTTAAAATTATCATATTCCGGCTTATGGAAGGGCATTTATAATTTATAGAATAATATACATGCCAAGGATCCATGGAGTATACGAGATGGCATCAAACATTTACGTTATCAATGTAGCTACTCGACATTTGGTAATATCAAATGTCACTTCTAATGGCTTATACGTATTTACATTCTAGCCACAAAAGTTTTCATATTATTATATTACAAAAAATCAATAACAAATATTTTAAAACATTAGAAGTTCGTTGTGTAATCTTTTCTTAATTGCCTATCAATCAACTATTTAACCAAAAGCTACTTTTTTTAAGTTTATGCATTAAATTATGTTGCAATCGAAATAAATAAAAATAACATTATTGTTTTGATTAATTTTACTTAAGAAAACTATGTGAGTTTTTCCATACATTTTTCTATTTTATTAATAAAGTATAGTTTAAACATTTTATTGAAAAAAAATAAATTAAATCGTTGTAGATATAACAACTTCAAACAAATTCAATAATTTTGATATATTCATTCAATTACATTTCAATGTTAATTATCAAATTTTAAGTCAAATACATTATGGTGTGATGACATCATTTTGACATTTTTAAAAAGAGATCAAATGCGTAATATAAACATTTAAGTTAACATAAAATAGATACTACTATGTATAATAATAAATAATTAGAATTGCATAAAGTATCACACTTTAATAGAGCTGAAAATTTTTCTGGTATAAATGTATAATGGTATAATTGAGTATTATTCCATTCCATTTCATACTCCGTATATAGAAGAAAAAAAGTTTTCAATAATTCATTCATTTATTTGTTTTGTTTTTTTGCTATGGCGACTCTATAATTCCCAAACATGAACCATGGGCTGTTTTCTAACCACTCCATCAATATTGCATATAAAACACCTCTGCAACACTGACCATTTGGACTTGGAGAAACCACCAAAAATCCCATCTTTCATAAAAACTCTTCCAAGGAGAACCAATAATCCCCTCTTCTTAGCCACCATGTTGCTAGGCAAAAAGCTGAACCCGATGATCGGAAAATTCGCCGGCGTACCGGTTTCCGGCACTGCCAATGATGGTTCAACCAGCCCAAGAAGTCCTCTGGACCGGAAGGTTCAATCAGCAAGATGCCCAAAAAGTTACGATCTTGGCGGGGTTGGACTGGCTATAGTAGCTGCCCTTGAACAATCCGGTGAAATTCCGGCCGGTATGGTGGTGTACAGCCGGAAATCGAAACGGTCCGTCCCAATTCCGGTGAACCCAGGTCGGATTCCGGCGAGGGTCGTCTCTGAACCCAGCAGCCTGGAAGAAGAGTACACCATAGTCACCTGCCGGCGCGGCGCCGACAACCAGACGTACACCAGAGTCTACTGCGACAACGGCGAGGTCTCCAGTTACAGAAACCCGGCGAGAAGTCATCGGCCGAGCTTCTTCACCATTTCTCCGGCGAGATTTGCAGATACTCCGGCATGCCCGAACTCAGATTTCCTCAATTCATGCCATTTATGCCACAAAAAGCTCACCGGCAAAGATATATACATGTACAGGTACTTAATTACAAAACCCAGAGTTTAATCGAATCCCAAATTACTTGAAATCTCAAATTGTGTTAGAAAAAATGCTAAATTTGATCATTTTGGCAGGGGAGAAAAGGGTTTTTGCAGCACGGAATGTAGATATCGGCAGATAGTGATGGACGAGCGCAAAGAAAATTGCAGCTTGGAGATTTCTGGGTCGCCGTACAAAAATGATCAGCTGTTTTCGACCGGAATTCTGGCCGTCTGATGATCGGAATTGCTCCGGCTACTTTTTTTTAATTAATTTTTTTTGGGGATTATGTAATATTGTTATAAATTAATGTTATTATAGAGATGTAAATGGGGGTGATGGGTATATAAAGTATAACTTCGGAATACTTCTATACACGCCTGAGAAATGCGATGATAAGGATCTTCTTTTCTTTTATGTTCTAATGTAATGAAATTTTTGATTTTTTTTTTGTCCATTATCTTCTTGCATAATTGCTTCATTTTCTTCAACCAAACACGTTCTTCAGATGTTAATATTGCGTTAATTCCAAAATTAATTTCATTTTTTCCAAAAAAAATCCATCCGATGAGTTAATTTTTACAATTAAATATAATTATCTTTTGTATAATTTCTTAAATATTCAGACAAAAAATCAATGATGGAACTTAGATGGAGTATTACTTTTGCGGTCCACTCAGAGAATTTGGGCCGTGTTTGGGAATAGAAACTTTATCATCTTTTCTGAGTTTTTTTCCCAAGAATGTGAAAAAGGGAAAGAGGGTAATTATGGGGAGTTGAATTGGAGATTTTTTTTTTGGAATGAAAGTTATTTTTTTTTCTTTCTTTCTTTTTCGTCGTGAAATAAAGAGTGGAAGTGACCAATATTCTTTGGCAGTTATCCTTTTTGGACCAACTTCTCCAACATCATCCTCCAAGTGCGAAAATAAAGCAAGTTGAAAACAACCACTCGTCACGAATTATTATGACTAGAAATAGAAATGTGTACTGTTAATGGGATAGGAAGGGGAACCACTTTCTCTTTTATTTAGACTTTTGTGCAAATTATGCGCAAAAATGAATATGACTTATGAGAAATATTATTTACTCGTATATTTTTACACCCCTCCATGGCTCTATAGTCTTATACGGAATATCATAATATTTGATCAACATTTTTAGAGCTCATTTGGTAAAATTGAAATTTGTTAAATTGAATAAATGTATTAAATTGATGAAACTTTGATTTACTTGAAAAATGTTAATTTATGTGCTCCACATCCAGCACCTTGGTTCAGTCCTTGCACCTTGGTTTATAGTCCTTGCTCCTAGAGCAAAGAGATTAAGAAAATTTCATTTTATACACATGAATACACATTTTTGTACATGATCTCTCTTTTGTCTGTGTGTATACATACCATTCGTTAACAACAAAAAAAATATTTTTTTTAGAATTGTCTGTTTGATGTGTAAAAGTGAGTTTACACATTGTTTGTGAATATTGGCCCAATTCTTTAGTAAAATGCAAAAATTTCTATTTTTTATAGAATTTGTCGGTTTGATGTCTAAAAGTGAGTTGGATGCGTGTATATGAAGAATTATTGTTAAAAACTGTACTTTTGTTTCCAATGGGAAATTTTATGGGACTCTTATGAAATTATATGACATATGTGAATGCATCATTATTATTCATTTTTAAACTGAAAGTAAAAATAAATGAAGTGTGTGAGATACTATACATTTTTTGCATTTCAATCCAAGTCAACATCAGCAAAAAATGAAAACTTTCAATTTTCTTTTACAATTACTACTTATGATTTATGAACCATTTAAATCTACACATACACTATACTTATTGATTATAAAAAAAAAAGGCAGATGAGGACCATACATTGATAGAGGGGTCCAACGTGGGCCACAACCAACCCCACGGATGACAAATACAAATATAGTTTATGTCTACATTTTTTACTATATAATTAAATGAATGTATTATTTTAGATAAGAATCTAGATCAGCAAAAGAAGGAAAATTGCTTCTATCTTAAAGGTAGGTGAAACAACCAATATTGATAATGACCTTAATACTTTTTAATTTTTGAAGATTTGACCGGTTTTAACAGTGACTTAGTCAACCATCCAAACATGGAATAGGATTTTAAAACGTTTTTTAGTACGGAAAAGAAAAGAAAGTGAAAAAGTTGAGCACTTCTTCTATTAGGAAATACAGTAGAAAAAGTTGGGTGCAACAATTTTTTATCTTCCCGCATGTACGAAGAAACTTCAGAAAAAAGAAGCTTAATCATTTATTAGTATACACTTTTATCTCATTAAGGTTGTTTTAGTCTAGTTAAAAATCATTTTTTCTCAACTTTTTCTCCCACCCTTATCTCCATGCACGAGTCTTTGTCAAATACGTGTATCTTTCTCAGTTTCATAGTTTTGCATTCTTAATTATTACTCCGTATAATAATTCCATGTTGTATTTCAAAAAAAAAAAACATGTCGTAAATGTTTAATTTTAATATGTACTTCTTTCGTTTTTTTTAATTGCGATGTTTTGTTTCACATTTTGTGGATTATCAATATTATTTTTATTAATACGATCAAAACATATTATTTTTATTAATAAAATATTAAATATCCCAGATTATGCAAATTTAAAATCAGAAATGAATTTTACTTGTAATTTTCAAAAATTAAATGTATTATTAGAAGTTGCACGTAAATGGTGTAAAATTCTACATTGTGTCTATCAAATATTGAAATAGTATTACATATCATCTATTACCATCCAATGGTAATAGCATTATGAGAATATACAAACGAAATCAAGCACTCCAGTCCGCTGGGTGCAACGTTACCTTGCCTAGCGTTTGGTCTTGTGTTCCAAACCCGCTAGGCACTTAGGGGAATTCAGAGGATGGAGATGTTGCTCCCAATGATTCTTCCTACTTTCACAGAGTTGCTCAGTGGCTAAGAAGGGAGATGATGGTAATGAAGGTAGCGGGTTCGTGTAAGTCCTGAAAAAACAGGTGATGTAAGTCCTGCTGGATTCGTCCTTTAGGAGCCAGTATTGACGAGGCTGACTGTGATCAGATCCGGACTTAACTGTCTAGAGGCTTTGGAGGGTAGTTCATAGACTCCAGGATTATGAGAGCTCAAGCCCCGACACATGGATTGTCCAAAAAAAAAAGAACAAAAAAAATACAAACGATGTAAAATAGTACTCCGTATCTTATACTCTCCAATGACAAGCAATGAGTTTTAGACCGAATTTTTTTTTTGGTGCGAACAAGAAACAGAGACATCAATAGTGAAATTAAAGGATGACATCACCGAGTAAAGGTCATGGGTGAAGCTTGGGGTTAAAAGTTGGAACTGTTCTGGATTCAAGGTCATGTGCGATTGGTGGCAAAAGTGAAGGCTTAACAGAAAACGTGATGAATAAGAGGCTGAGTGAGGAAGAAGCTACAGTATTGTCGGCTCGTCCTTCTCCTAAACCGCCGCCGGAGTATCAGAAACAGATAGGAGGTTCCAGATTGTGGTTGGAAGTGGTGCTCTGGAAGGAGCAATAGTTTTATTTTAGGAAAAATTGAAAATAATAATCCCAACTATTGCTGATTATTTTTTGTATAATCCCAACTATATGGACCATCCGCTAATAATGGTCCATCATCAGATATTACCTCCTATAAAAAGTGATTTTTAAATAGAAATTAGGCGTAAAATTAAAAGTTGAGATTATTTATAGGGATTACTTGTTATATCTCTTCTCATCCGCTTTAGATACTACAAGAATTTATTTATAGGGACCATTATTGGCGGAAGGTCCCTAAAGTTGGGATTATTCTGAAATAATCGATAGTTGGGATTATTATGGGCGGACATCAATAGTTAGGATTATTACTATCAATTTTTCCTTTATTTTATTGTCCTTTTTCTTTTAAATTGCTTTGATCTTACTGTTTGCTTTCTCTTTTGGATTGTTTTTTGCTGTAAGATTGTGGATTTGGACGTGGGTGATGAAAGGATTGCGGTAACTGTCTCTGGCTCAGTTGCGCCCATTAATGGATCAACGAGTTATATTGCTTTTGTCGAGGTGATAAACTCTGAGTCTGGTTCGAGGGTCGGCGGTTGTCAGAAATCTTTTTGTTGGTCTCCCTACTATCTGAATGACGTGTTATCAATTCAAGCTTATTTCTTCCAAAAAAATCATTTGTATGGTAAGCATTGTGTATCAATCATATTGTTGAAACTCAAAAGATACTCTTATGAAATTCTTTAGTACTTGCTTGTTCTTAGTGTCTGAAAATATCTTACAATATAAAAACATAGTTAAAGATACTCTTATGAAATTCTTTAGTACTTGTTTGTTCTTAGTGTCTGAAAATATCTTACAATATAAAAACATAGTTTAGTTTGGTATAAATAAATTATTGTGACCATTTATTGTTAAAAGTTACAAACTTTCTTTTAAAAACTGGTTGGACAAAAAGAGACCATTAAATATTAAATGTATTTAAATACCTTTTTACAAAGTACTATCTGCGTATCTTCCATTTCTCCCGACCAGTGGGAGTTGGCCTTCTCTGCCGTCGCCTATGTAGTTGCCCGCCGATACCCCTCTTATCTTCTTCTTCCCATTTCTTGCCAAACCAAAGTCCAAAAAAATTCGGATCGCGATTGAGTCCTAAAATTGTAAACCGAGACCACGAATCGCTCTAGACCGGACTACTCCGGTCTCATGCCCGAAACTGCTCTAACCGGACCTAGTCCACTCCCAGACAGTGCTAGACCGATTCCATATCAAGCTAGTCTGCTAAGCTAGGTCCATCAGTCCATGCCTAGGCGAGGGTAGTGGGGCAGGATCGGGATTGGTGGAGGAGAGGCAGGGCCGACAGTGTTGCTCACTACCACATTCAAGGTGCCACCAGTGGTGGCAGTGGGTGATTCATGATTTTACATGGCACTGATCAGTAATGGTGGAGTGCTTTAGCTTTAACAGAGCTAGTCACTAGCACGTTCACGAGAACGGGACGTTGTCGGCCTTTAATTTTTTTGATCAACTTCATAATAGGGATGAACTGGGCCCTGGCGGCCCGACCTAGGCCCGATTTTCCGGATTAGTACCAACCCAGGACCAGTACTGTTGGTACCGATTAAGAACAGGACCGATCCGGTACCCGGATCGATGATTATGAGGGGCGGGCTTCGGCCTTGATTCTTTTGACCTGATCCAAGCCTAACGACTATTTTCTTTAAAAATATATATATATATATATTTTAATGGGCGAGTACCGACTCATGCCTGACCCAGAGATGACACTGTATGAGCGCGGACCGGAATCGGTACCTGAGCATATCGAACGGATACCAAGCTTCACTTTTCTAGAACCTATCACATGGGCTCGACCCGAAT